AACAACAACCCTGTGAGGTGGGTTAGGCTGAGAGAGAGGGACTGGCCCAAAGTCACCCAGCCGGCTTTCGTGAACTCACAGTCTCCTGCCTTCTAGGCCAGCACCTTAACCACTACACCAATTTTTTTTCTTTTTTGCTGGCATATTGAAAATAACTGATTTATAATAATCCAGATAACTTCTGTCCTTTTCCTACCCTGAGTTCTGTCGATAAGTCTCATATTTATCCAGCGGTCTTTCAATCAATCCGGTATTCGGATATTTTTGTTAGCATATTTCACCCACAGCTGGAAGGCAGAAAAAAGTCACTTTGCTCATCTTTTGGCTTGTTATTTTTGGACGTCCCTCCTCGAACGCCTGCAATGGAAGGTTTTTCTCTCAGATCCATTCCCCAAATCCGCGGAAGCTTCTCTGAATAGGATCCCTTTCCAAAATGGCACTGAATTTATCCTAGCAGCTTTTTTCTTTCCTCCCTTTGGGCTTCCAGTTGTGCTGTGCACATGTGTATGGGTCTGTGTTAGTTTGTGTTTGACTATTTGGGTGTGCATATATGTGTTTGTGTGTGTATCATGGTATGTAGGGGTATATATACGTGTGTCTGAGATAGTTTGCGTGGATTTATGTGTGTGCATCAGTATGTGTGTGCATGTGTGAACGCGCATCCGAGCATGTGTTAGCATGTGTTTGAGTGTATGTATACACCCACCTGTCCTCACCACTTTTTACAAGGCCCCATCCACTCTAGGAGTGTGTCATCCTGCATGTCCCCAAAAAGCATGTGTGGCCCTCCGCCTGTCAGAAGTTTGGCACCCCTGCTATGGGGAGGTGGCCCATACCATCCTTTTCCCTTTGCTTTTGGAGTTGCTTTCCTGTCAGATTTTGGAGGGTGAAATGGAAACATCTGAGTTTTTGTCCTGAAGTTTTTTGGGTTTTTTTTTTTTTGGAAATGCTAGATTTTAGGGCTGTGCAGCCCTAAATGGAAATTGATTCTAGACCAGTGGTTTGGGGCATGTGGGAGTACCAATGTAGCACCTTTCCACAGCTCCTTAAAGCAGCTGCATCTTTATGGAGTAGTGGCTACTTTAAGGAGTTGTAGGGAACTGCTTTGTTTCCAGATCCACATGGTCCAAAGGATCTTTTCACAGTCAAATCCAGAGCCCTACTAGACTTTGTTTTATTACCCCAACATTCAGTGCCCCCCCCCTTTTTAGGCAATTCATGCCTTTTTTCCACAGCCATATATCACATTTACTATTATTTTTATTTTTTATGTATATTACTCAACCTCACCTTTACACTGGAGAGCATGATCCAGATGGCTAAGAGATAAAATGGAAAAAGATTCCTCGCCCAGTCAGCCAGAATGAAGATTCACACATATTACAATCATAAAAACGAAACTCTTGTTTGAAGAGGTCCTTCTCTGAAGTTGCTTTGCTGAAGCCATCGTTCTAGGGCAGTATTAACAGTCCGAGATTTCAACCTCTTGTGTTATTTTTCTATCCCATTTCTCTTCAAGGACTTCAGGGTGGCATGTAAGGTTTTATTGAAGTACTTGTCGTAACTTAGAAAGTTATAAACCAGCAGTCTCCAGGATGGTATCAACCAGATGTATTGGTTTTCAACTTCTATAATTCTAAACCAGTCTGGCCAAAAGAATTGAAGCCCAAGAATCTCAAGGTCACTAGATTGGAGTCTCCCAAATACTCTTTCCATTTTTGTGTGGGTCTGCCCATCATATGAGCTCATTATTAAAGCCCTTCTTCAGATGCTGCCTCCTTCTATGATGAGGCTTGATCCTAGTTAGGAAATACATGGTACTCCAGATGTCATTGAACTACGATTCCCAACATCCCTTACTATTGACCATGCTTAGGGATACTAGGAGACATAGCTCAAAGGTTGCTTGCTTCTGAGCTAAAGATAGAACCTTCTCTAGTAGCACCAGTGCTGTCAATATTATCTTTCTCATTCCTTGGCTCCATCTGTCCTATCTACGTGTATCCTTAATGACAAATTAATATGCATCTGCTCTTAGCTGCTGTCTGCCTTTCTGACTCTTTTTCTGTTCTGTTATTTAATTTACCGAGTTATGGGTTTTACTTCCTTCATTATCTCCGATACTTTAGATTGTTTAATTCATGGCTGCAAGCCACCTCAAGGAGAGAAGTGATGGATGGAAAAAGATGTTAAAGACTATTAAGTCTCCACCTATATAGTCCCTTAATTATTTATGAATCACAGGACCTGTGTAGGAATGCCATTTTACCCCATCTCAGCACTTCCCCATGGACTGTGAAATTTGAGAGGGGATACTTCTGTTGAATGAATAAGTGGCCATCCATTTGCAATAAGGGCAGAGTTTTGGTCATTTTGATATGAGGAGAGTTCTGCCAAAGGATTTGTGCATCTCTTTAACTGAACATGCAGTGTTGATCCTTCTTTATTGATAAGTCTTGTGTTGGAGCCAGCCTTGAGCGATAGGAATGGCCAGGGCTTCTACTAACTTTCAGGAGACAAAAAAATCAGAAGTTTGAGCTTTGTTACCTTTCTGTCATATCAGCCCCCCAAATCTGCTCCATGCCCTCATTTTGCAAACTCTTTTGGAGTGCTAAAATGGAGAGGCGATTTCTCTCTCTCCACCACCAATATATAAAACAGCATTGCATTTCATTATGTGGTGTTCTTAGGTAATTTTTCTCCCCACCTCCTTGACTGTGTTTAAGAAGCCAGCATACAAGAGAGTGCTACATTAGTGTATTATTCTGACAACAAACAGGCACTGTTCTGTTGCTACCTGCTTGGCCATTGTTCTCCGTTGTGTGTGCTTTGCGGTGGTATTTGGATGGCTTCCTGCCCTCCGCTAGCACAAAAAGGCATTTCTGTTACAATGGCCCCTAACCACACAATGACGGCATTAAGGATTTATGTGGAGGTTTCATTATTTTCCCCTCTTTTGTTCCTTGTAGGATGTCTTCCAAGCAACCAGCTTCTCCGTATGGGGAAGCAGATGGAGAGGTAGCCATGGTGACAGGCAGACAGAAAGTGGAAGAGGAGGAGAGTGGCGGTCTCCCAGCCTTTCACCTTCCTTTGCATGTGAGTTTTCCCAACAAGCCCTATTCTGAGGAATTTCAGCCAGTTTCTCTGCTGACGCAAGAGCTTTGCGGCCTTAGGACTCCTACCTCTCAGCAAAACACAATGGTAGGTCTCCTCCAGACTCTATTGTGCTTTTGCATTGCCTCCACAATCCCTTGGCATCTAAAGACCTCTCCTTTTGTACATCAAGTCACTTTGCCACCGGCATGGACGGAACATCTCACAATAATGGGAAAACTTTGACCCCGTTTCCGTTAAGGATGAAAACTCCATCTTGCTGGGCTCCCAATTGAGTTCCAGGTCTCTCCACTTGCATCCTATTTAGTTAGCAATCAGACTGTGAAATGTTCAAATATTATTATTACTATTACTATTACTATTATTATTATTTCCTTCTTGGTGGCAAAAATCGCATGCATCTTGTCTGCTTCTCAAGTATGAAGTGGCCACACAGGAGATCTTGCCCATAGGCTGGTTCAAATAAATTTGGCAGTGTACAAATTGGAGCATGGTTTATGTATTAGCAATTCACACATTAGTTTTGTTTTTTTGTTTTTTTTTTCCTGCAGCTATGCAGAGGAATGTCAGATGCTTTCATCTTTTATACGATGTATTCATTTCTATTCATTTCTGTAGATTCTGTATTTGGTATCCCATCTATTTACAACTAACAAACCAGCTTTTGGTAACCCTGAAGTTTGCAGAAGTATAAAAGACCTTTCCCTGTCTTTTGCTGCTTCTGTCTCAGAATGAAGGGGGGGGGGGGGGGACTCAAAACAGGCCACTAGAACTAAAAAGGGTTACAGAATATTGGCTCACTGCTAGGAAAGGGGAATAAATGCGCTGAGTTCATATATTCATGCAGACTTATTTCATACTATTTACCATGCACAAATCCCATTGCTCTGATTTTTATGAAGAATTGATCCCATTTTTAAATTTTATGTATTAGGGAAAAGTGGACAGAAAAATGTGGATACATTTCTGAAAACCATGCCCAACAACGCATTCTATTTAGGAGAAATGTTTGCAAAATATACAGACTTCTGGCAGAGTAGCCTACAGAAATGTATATGTCAAAGAAATATAGATTTTATTTTTTTTAAAAGAAGACATTCCTAATTGATACAGAAATAGGTTAAATTATATTTTAGAAGGGAGAATAAGGAACTCTATGAAACCAACTGACCAATTCATCAATTGCAGAAAACTGCAATTGATGATAAATTCTGCAATAACTGATGGCAGAAAATCAGGGATTGGCAGATAGAATCATAGTTGGGTGAAGGGAATTGTGCTTGGGATAACTTTAAATGCCAACACTTTGTTGCAGATTCCCCTTTTAATATCCAAGGGAATCACTCTCAAGTAATCCATTTTTTTTTTATCAAGCTTGATCCTGTAGTGCACTTGCTTCAGAAGTCGGCCCTATAAAGCAGAGGTAGGAATACCAGGCAACCTTTTAAGCAAACCCCAACTCATATTCTAAGTTGCTAAACTTTACTTTGAAATGCTGTTCTGGTTGGCAACTGACCCCAAACAACCCAAACTCTAGTCTAGCCAACTTGTTTTCTTCCCCAAAAACAGTTAAGCAAACAGAAGTTGATCATGATCTTGGACCAGACAATCACCTAGTAATTCCTACAGAGCCAATTACTGGTAAAGCCATAACTGCGAGGATTGATCAAAAGGTTTGGCAACCTGCACTGGTGTCCATTGTACTCAAGTGGGGAGTTTTGGAGAGAACTCATTTGAATCAGTAGTGGGGGTAGAGCATGATAAATTCAGATGATAAAGCTATTCCTCTCTGCTGTTGTTATTTTTAAATTCATTTTCTCAAATTTATTATTCTCAGTAGTGGTAGGAGACCAATTCCCCTATTATACCTCTCTGATATAAGGAGCACCAACATATAAATTCCTCTTTTTTCTTTTACCTGTTCCTTATGGTAAAACATAAATATCACCTTTATTTCTCTTTCTCTCTCCTCCTTCCTGCCAAACCCTTTTTATAACATGTGGTTTCTGTCCCCTGTTTTCTATATGTAAAGTAAAGAATTAAACCATGCTGTTTGTCATTTCACAACAAACGTGGCGTGCTAATAATTTTTCTCAGATGAAGTATCTTTTGAGAAGAATAACCTGACTGTTGGCTAAGGATATGTTTGGAAGGGAATACGTGCATAGACAGTAATTTCTCCTCCAAAAGAGGAAACACAGACACGAAAAGAATGTCATCAATCCCTTAATATCTACACTTATTATTGGCTCATCAGATTTCCATTACAAACATTTAGTCTCCTCCTCTTTTCCTTGTGATGGTTTCTGAATAATAAGAGTTTGGGAGGAAAACCCAAGAGGGGGAAACTACATTTTAAACAGAGGCTGAGATTCATTTTAAGATTTCTGAAGGAAAGAAAGGAAGCAAAGAAGGCATGTGTGGGAGGGGGTAGATAACGATTTCATTCCATTCATTGTCTTTAATAATCTACCAAAAATCCAAACGCAGTCAAGCAGAAAGAACTTGAATTTAAAACAGTGTGGATGTAGGAGAAAGCAACATGGTCAAATTCATTGATCCATGGATAGGGCTTTGAGTATTAAGTTCTCAAAACTTGGCTTCCGTCTCTGCATATTCAACTATTGTAGTATTAAATTAGGTTTGCCATTTCTTCATTTTGACACTGTCCTCATCATTAACTGCATAGCAGACAGGTCTAACATGGTTTTTCTCCTGTTGGAAATACCTGTACACATTGAATTCTCAGCAGGTGGTAAGAGGCTGGGCTAAGAAGAGTCAAGCCTGATTAGTTCCTTGCAGGAAATACTGAGGCTGTAGGCTAGACTGGGAAGTCCCAAAAACAGAGCAGAAGAAGCAACCGTTTCTGTGTTATGCCAAGAAAACTATATGGACTTTTCCGTGAAATCACCAGGAGATGAACTGGGCTCAAGAGGAGACGAATGGGTAAAATCTGATATGTCCATCCAAGGAGAAAGCATGTTGTGTGGCAGGCACTTGGTATAGTGATCCCCATAAAATACATACTGTACTTCTTTCTTATCCAGGTTTGAATTTATCCTTTTCTCTGCAGTTGTGCCAAGATTTTCTAGCATATAGGTTGCTGAGGACAGATGTGCAAAACAGTGTGATCTGTTCCCATAGTGTTCTGGTGTTTGTTTTGGGTCCAGATTGCATCCAAAGCACCATGAACCATTTCCAATTCTGGAGGATAAATATCTGGACATGGAGGAACCATCTCCAGAGGACTCTGATTTCATGAGAAGAATGGAAGGATGGACTGCTAATTACTATCTAGTTCATGTGAAAGTGTGATCATCATTTTGGCCAACACTGCATGCCTCTTAGACTATTCCAAAAAAGCTGATTTACAGAATAATGAAGACATTTCTGTTTTTATTAGTTTTTGGAAGCATCCTTTTATTTTTTGAAAAAAAAATACTAAAGCTAGCATGCAATAGTTGATTTCAGTATCCTTTTCATTCATTCCCAGGTATACCTGTAGGCCCTGCATTGGCGTCATTGGCATTCCAAGGAAATAAAAATGTTTGGGTGGCTACAGCCGGGTTCTTTGTTCAGAAGTGTGTCCCTCTCCTTAGAATGAATATATATGCTTTTCTACTGAAGTGGTTCAGAGCATGCTGAAAGGCTGGAGTGGTTGGTAAGGAGCATTTTGTCAATAGGCAGCCCTTCCCATAATAATCCACAAGAAGCTCTCAAAATTCCAAATGAGTCTGTACGCTCCAAAAGCATTATGTGTCCCAGTGCTAGATAGGTTTGAAGCAAAGAACATTTTCCCATCCAGATTTCTGAAACAACCAGGCTTTAATCAATGTTTTCTTGCTTGCAGCAACATCTTAAAGCATGCAGATAAACTTGTGAATGGGTGAGTGGGTTAAGGAAAAAAAAAAGAGGGGAGAGGAAAGGAAAGGAAAGGAAAGGAAAGGAAAGGAAAGGAAAGGAAAGGAA